CTGAACCTGCCCAGCGCTGACTACGGGAAGCCCCAGGCAGAGTGGCTCCCCCCCGGGCTTCCTGGAATCAGCCACTGATCAGTTTCAGCAACAGCTGACTTGGGGACGCCTGGGTTTCTTAAGTTGAATCTGTATGTAAGTCAGAACTGGCGTCCAGATTCAGCCGCAGTTGAAACTGATCAGTTTCAGCAGTGGCTGACGCCAGTTCCGACTTACAAACAGATTCAACTTAAGAACAAACCTACAGTCCCTATCTTGTACGTAACCCAGGGACTGCCTGTACATCAAAGTGAGAAATAATTAAAGGTTCTAGTATGATCAGCTCTCCATGTCTAAAAGCATAAGGACAGCCATATTGGGTCCAGACCAATGGTTCATCTAGCCCAGTATCCAGTCTTCTGTTCATTCCCTCTGAAGCACCTGGCACTGGCCCCTGCAGAACAGGGATATTTATCAAGGGATCCATTCCCTGTCTTCCAGGCCCAGCTTCTGTAAGTCAGGCTTAGGGATACTTAATGCATGCATCCCTTCATTTAAAGTAATTGAATTTAAATTAACTGATTTTCAGGTTCCTGGAGGTACGTGTTATACCACCTCAGGTTAGTTATCACATAAGGATCACTTCTGGCCATTGCACTCTTTGAATTCTTCTTCTTTTGATTTACGATTCGGGGGTGATTTTTGAATGATTGAGGAGAATGTGCGGTATACCCATTTCCTTTTTGTTTAACAGAATTCAGTTTTTCATGATTGGACTGCCAGCAGGGCTAGGAGAGTGGTGTCTGCTGAATGTGTGGTATTGACTTTCTTCCACTTTGAGGAAGTCATCCAATTTGAGCCTCTAATAAGGCCTGCTCTCAGAAGGAAGAGCCTTCTCTTGTGAAAGAACTAATCAGCGCAAGGGATGTGGGAAGTGAATGAATTGTATTTTTAAAGTTTCTCTGTAAAATTATCTAATTCTGATGTGTGAATGGAATTGTATTTTTTCCTTCTATTAAGTAATCTATTTGTCTCTTACCATTCGGTCATTAAGTAATTCAAGAAACTTCTATCCCTCTAGCAACATTTTCAGCAGCTGGAGTGTACCACTGATTGGTCCATATCATACATGCTTTCATCTTGTACATTTTAATCTGCAAAGATATGGTCTGTAAAATGCTGGCTGTTTCATATAGTAAAAGGTTATGTATGCTACAGAAAAGAGAAGGCTGAGACTGAAAGAGCATATTCTGTTCCTCCATCCTTATGAGACACTCTTTTCTTTTAATTCCATGTAGAACTGGAGTGGAAGATTTCAGAGTCAGGTGCCATCAAGACAGATCTAGAGGAAAACCCCAGGAAACAGATCCAGGACCAGTTGATATCCTCAGTTAGGTGCTCTGTTCCAACAAGGAGGGACAGTGATTCTGAAGATGATTAATTCCTCTACCATCATCTAAGGTTGATGCAGTACGTTTTCAACCAAAGTTCATATCCAATATACTGGACAAAACCCACCTGACACACCTTAATCTTTCCACTGATGCCTCAATTAAGGAAGAATAGTTTTTCAAGATGGCAGTCTTTTACTAGCAATTTCCAGCTTTGTATCTATTACAACTTTGTTTAAAATCTGACAGTTTGAAATACTTTTATAAATGGAGACACAATCAATCTTATTCCACATTTTTAAAAATAGACATAGTAGGAAAAGTGATCATTTTTTCTTTTGTTTTGGTAAATCTTTGCAACAGAGAGAGACCTACAAGTTTAAGTACTATATGGCATGGAACATCATACACTGATTTTAAATAACTTAAGATATATTCATGTAAATATCTTATAAGTTGCAATAAATGGTGCATTTCAACAGCTGCAGTAAAGTTAAGGCTTCAGAGTCCTTTTGTTAGGCTGTTTATCAAGACGCACATTTGGGCACAGAGGCAAACTTGCCTAAAGAACAGTCTCTGACCTATTTAATAAACTTGTAGAATACTCACTTGACTAACGCTATAATGCTTTAGTGCTGCTACCAAACTGGTGCCTCATTCACAATGGACTTGATGTTAAGAGGTGCCTTTTTTATTATATTAAAGTAAAAACTTTGTCTTCCAGCATTTGCCACAGCTACTTCTTGTTAAAATAGCAAGCCCTTGGAGGAGGGAAAAAATTAAAATGCCATCCTAATTATTTATATATATTCTGAAGTTTAAGAAAGCTGCATGCCTGTTTCAGACTGGGCTTGCTGTCTACCTACATGTCTTATTTGTCTACATGTGGATGCTAATAAGTGGCACATGACTATGCTGACAAGCTTACCTAAACACCTTTTGTTATGTTGCTGATGGAGTCTGTGGAAGCACAGTATAGAATTTGAGCATTTAATAAGTATAAAACATTTAGCTTTGTTATATTGAGATAAGCTTCTGGAAGATTTCAGCTGGATGGCTTTAACTTGACCCCTTTATTTGAATTAGTGGAACTTAAAGATCTGCTATTTTAATTAAATTACATATTAGTCTGTAAGATTTTTGGTGCAGAGACTGCCTTCTTATGGGGATCAACACTGTCTAACTCAGGGGACTCTGTTCCTTTGGTGTTACTGCAATAGAAATAGTGAACAAAGATTGCTCTTGGCCTCAATACTACCTAGCAATGAATACCTGTGGAGTATGGCCGTGGTGTCCAGCATGCTAGTCTCGTGGCTATTTGGCTATAGTAGTAGCCACCATATTATTTACATTTTCAGAATAATGGGGCTAGTTCACTCTAGTGGCTACTGCTTCAGAACTGGTTGGACACCACAGCAGTATGGTCTCCTTGTATTGTGAAAACTTGATTAGAAGCTTCTGATTTAATTGCTCTGTTTAAAATGTCAGCATTGTCATCTGATTGAACGTAAAAACTTAATTGTATATTAAGCTTGTCTGTAAACAAACTTCTATTAACACAAGCACTGAAATACTAGTCAGACTGTTTGATACCTGTCTGTGTACTTGATTGTTTTATTCTTGCATATCTGGATTTTTCTTACACCTCAATACTACAGTGTGGAAGTGATCTGTATGTTGGGAAGAAATTCTTCCAGTGCATATTGAAGAGGCCTTGATACATCAATATAAATATTGGTTGTGATCATATTTGAAATTGGGATGAGAGTTTTTGAAGTACACTAAAACCCTTTTTATGTGGCAATGCACCAATGGGTGAGCTCAATAAACTGGCACTTCTGATCTGCACAGAAAATCCAGTTTGTAGAGCAGTTGGTGTGGAACCTGCACGGGGATACTCCCCTCCAGTCATTCCCTATCTCTGCTGTTGCTGGCAAAGGTGTGGCTAGGCAGGCTTCCTCCATCCTCTTTCTCTTCTTCTCCTCCTCTCTCCCCTCCCCCGACCCTGTGGCTCTTGGCCCATTGCAGGTGCCACCCCCCGTGGTTCCTGGCCAGCTGGAGGCAGCGTGCCTGCTTGCTGCAGAGCCACCTGGCTGTGCTTCCACCAGGAGCAGCAGGGATGGGGAACCACTTGTGGGGGCTGCGAGAGATGAGTGCCTGCCCTCCCCCATATGAGACCCTAAGCCCTTCCTGAACCTGTGCTGTGCAGCCCTTATGCTCTGCCCCAGGCCCACCTTCCAAATCCCTCCCTCTTAGTTGACTGCCATTTTTAATTTACTGGTACCCCCTGCTTTCCCAGTATGCCAGATAAAGGGGTTTTACCATAATAAAAGAGCAGTGTACATAA